TTCTAAAGTATCTGGCAAGCTAAAGTGAAGGGAGATAGGTGATTTTGAAACCGGTTAAGAATGGCAAGAGAACTGACTCCATAAATATTGATGGGAACAGGAGCCACAGGGGCAGATGTGCAGTTCTAGTTTCACATGTGGATTCAAATAACAGATGAGTTATGCTCCTAAACCCCTGCTGTTTACAAGTTGTAGAAAACAAAGAGATTTTAAAATTTCGGGGAATTTGTGCACAACTACACTTTTTTTTTAATAATCATTTTATTAGGGGCTCATAGAACTCTTCACAATTCATACATACATCATTTGTGTCCAGCACATTAGTACATAGGTTGCCATCATCATTCTCACAACACCTGCCCTCCACTTGAGCCATTGGTGTCAGCTCCTCCTTTTTCCCCCTCCCTCCCCGCTCCCCGCTCCCCCCTCCCCCTGAACCCTTGATAATTTATAAATTATTATTATCTTATCACAACTAGACTTTTTAAAAGCAAACAGGAATGTCAGACATTTTACAAAAGCTGATTTAACAAGAAATTGCAATTAGAATGAACTGAGTGCAAGAGAAAGAAATAATAAAGTAGCCCAGTGTAAGGTACAGCAACGACAACAAAATCCTTTCTGATAAGGACAGGTTCTCACACGTGACCAAAATAATAATAATATATAATTATAAGGGTTCCTGGGGTAGGGTGGGGGAAGTAGGGGAACAAAGGGGAGCTGATATCAAAGAATTCAAGAAGAAAGAAAATGTTTTGAAACTGATGGTGGCAGCAATTGTAGAATTATGCTTGAGCTAATTGAATTATGGATTGTTATAATATCTGTAAGAGCTCCCAATTAAATGATTAACCAAAAAATAAGTAATCTAATCTAAATATAGTAACCTCCAAGACATCACCTATTCTAAAATGATTGTCTAAGTCCAGTTTCAGCCTCGACCTCTCCTCAAGTTCAGGTCTGAATATCGTACTGCCACCTGGACAGATCCATGCAAATGTCCACAAATCCTGCCTTTACTCACCCCACCTGCTGGCCAGTGAGCAGGGCCCATAGGGTTGCCTAAACTAGCAACCTCTGAATTCACTCTGGGTCTTTGCTTCCTCCTCCCCAGCCAGCCCTTGATCTCATCCATTCTACCCTCTTAGATGTCACCCCAATATATGACCTCTATCCCCGCTGCATTCACCCCACCATCTCCCCCACTCTGACTACTGCACTGCCTTCCCATCATCTCCTTGCTTGCCTGCCCCTTGTTCCCTGCAGAATTACTTTTCCAAAACTGACAACTGATCACTGGGCACCTACTAGGTGCTTGTACCGATGTCCTCTCATCTCATTCTCCAACACACGCACAAAGTGGTAGGAACTTGAAGCTCAGAGAAAGAAGCCAAGTGACTCACCCAGTGTTGCCCAGAGCTGGATTTGAGCACCGATAGGGCTCTTGGAGGTCCACCCCCTCCACGTGTGTCCCTTGCTTTACAGTCCATGCACCTGGAAGGACGTCAGGTCCAGAAAATGAATGACAGCTACAGGCAGAATGAATGGACAATTTGAGTCAATGGACCGTAGATGTAATCAGAAGTCCAATTCCTTCCTCAGGATTTATGGCAAAATTGATTCCCTTCTGGTTCCAACTACAGAGATCCAGGCCCTCTGTTTGGCTGAATCTCTGGGGGGAAAATGAGGCAATAACATTTTGTTAATCAAATTATAAAGCACAGACTTTTCTGATAAGAACAGGTTCTCACAGGTGACTTCAATTCTGTGTGATGACAAGTCAACCGCTGCTTTGTCTTAATTCTCTATTAGATAATGCCTCACCTTTTGTCCACAGGGGGGTAGGGACACAAATTGAACCAGCAGGGGAGACACTTCACTCCCCACAGCATTCCTCAGCCAAGGAAGTCTGGTGACATTTTCCGAGAACTTCGAGGTTTAAGGGGGTGGATTCTCTCACCTGCCATCCTAAAAATTGCCCTGGGGTGCTTCTTCACCCTGCCCAAAATATCCAAATGCACAGCCAGCCTACCCAAGCATGCCTGTCTAGCCTTGCCCCTACCCTTGTCCACTTGCCCTTTGCCCCCTTGCTTCAACTGTCGAATGAGCCAGGAGTGTCTGTCTGTATGAAGTCTGACCCCAACACTGCCAGAGGGCTGTGTGACATTACGTACGTTACCACACCACTCTGGGCTTGGACTTCACCGAAGCTCTCGTGTCACCATGTGGATAAAGAAATCAGCTTCCTGTGCGCCAGGCCCTTTGCAAACATTAGTTTTCAACCTACAAAATAGGTCTTATTATCCCCATCTCAAGAAAGTAGAACCTGAGGCTTGGAGCAATGCCTTGGCAGAGCCTCCATCTGGCTCCGGGGAGCAGGTCCATCCAATCCTATAGCTGCTGCTGTGGGGCCTCAGGGGAGACAGAGGCCTCCAGAAACCTGGAAATTATATGCTCAGTGTGTCTCCCTGGGAATGGCATGTCCATATGGGGTCATCCCAGGTGCTGATCTGCGGTCTGGGGCTTGTGGGCTCCAAGCCTCCTGGTAGAAAGGCCCGCAGGCGCATGCTTGGGTTCCCAGCCTGGGTTGGGACCACTGCTGGCGCCAGGGACACCGCCTTGCTGTGCTGGGTGAATGGCCCCCTTCCCGTGCCTGCCCCTGGTCTGCCCTGCCCCACTCCACCGCCTATTTAAACAGGAGGCCCCAACACAGCTCAGGCACAGGCAGCTTGCCGCAGGGTGAGAGGAGAGCAGCACTGCCAGGCTGGCCCGCCGGGGAATGAAAGGCTCCCCTGTCCCGTCGTTTCACACCGACCCGTGCGTTCATTCACAGCCAAGCTGCTGAGCTGCGTTGTGGCGGTCCAGTCGTGGGGCGGGGGTGGTGGTGGTGGTGGTGGTTGTGGTACGGAGATGTATAGCCGGCAGAGGGAGGCTCTGATTATATTGTTCCCATTTCTAATCCCTGCCTTGATGTGATCCTGGAGGGACAGGGGAGAGCATATTTCAAAACAAAGTCTGGCTCAGGGTATCAATGATCTGACATGTTTTTCTTTTCTTTTTGAGAAAAGACAAGGTCCTGTCATTTCCAGACTCTGGAAATTCCACTTCCCCCTCAGGAACCTTTCCCTAAATAGTTCCTGCCATTTCATTCTACTCTGAAAAAAACATGCTGGGGGGTTTCACTGGGGGTTGGTTCGAGGGAGAGACTAGCTGGAGCGGACAGTTTGGGGGAGTGTCTGAGGCCCAGTTTGCCACATAGCCTCAGGGAGAGATGGGAAGGAGAGAGGGCAGTGGGGCTGGAGACCCCTCATGCCACTTCCAGACGCCCATGTGCTGGGGTCAGGAGAGCTTCAGGTCAGCCTGCAAGAGAGCGAAGGACAGAGGTAGAGACCAACAGCCATGGAGGGTGAGTCAGGCTTCCTGGATGCCAGGGACAGGGCATCCCCCGTAACCAGGACAGCAGCAGGCCTTGCTGACCCCCCCAGCGGACAAGCCTCCCTAGGCTATGGCGGGAAGGGAAATCAGTCGGGTGCTTAACTCAGGGAGCATGAGCCGTAGGGACCACATGGAATCTAGGGATGTTGGGGAGCCCAGGTCACCCATGTAGAATGGGGCCTGGGGATCCCTGGCTCTCTCTTCCTCCCACTCTGGTCAAGCAACACCAGTACCCATATTCACCTGGTCCTTGCCACCACCTCCAGGGATACAGGGAAGGGCCCCCGGGGCTCAGAGGTTAAAGGCTTGCTCAGGGCCACTCAACTGCTGGCTGGAGCCTGTCTCCTTAGAGCCCCACTTTTCAGAAGGGAGCCCCCTATTGGCCTGAGGGGGCTGTTGCTGTCAGACGTTCCATGGGCTTTCTGGCCTGGTGGAGTCAGGGAGCGTGAGTGAAACGTAGCTTTCAGAGTCTTCTGAAACTCCCAGTTTGGGCAAGTTTCAAAATTGGTACCCCCCTCCCCCAAAAGGAGGGGACCTGGTGTGCAGGAGTCAGGGAATGAGGCTGCCCTGCTGAGGTTGTGGGGCAGCTAAAAGGGTTTTCTGCCTGGCAGTGGTTCAGTCAGTGGGGATGGGGGGCACACTGAGAAACAAGAGGGGCGGAGGGCCAGACTTGGGAGTCAGGAAGCCTGCGGGTCTGTGGGTGGAGAGGGGTGTTGAGGTGTTGAAGGCAGGCCTACAACTAGAAGGGGGCAGGGGGCGGGGCAGTCAGATTCAAAAGCAAGGGGGTTGGGCATGGATCAGGAAGCAGGGCCAACCCCTGAATGTAGGAAGTCGACCTTGAACCCAGGCTGGGGTCTCAGTGTCAGGTGCAGAGTCTGAAGCTTGGGGCAGGCCCAAGGCATAATGGCTGGATTCTCCAGCTAAGTCAGCAAGGGGTGTGGGAGCTGAAGGATGCAGGGAGCCAGTGGCATGTGTCCAGGGGCCTCCACCCTCCACCACTCTGTTGGGTTCTTGTGGTGTCCCTACTGAACAGCTCCTCCACCAACCTATCTTGCCCTCCTCCCCTTATACTCTCTCTGCCAAACCCCACAGGTTCTTCTTAAACACCCCTCCTCCCCCACCCCCAGCAGCCACTGTCCCCCACACCAGGGCTAACCTCAGCTGCCCCACCCCAGGTATCTTGGAAACAGATTCCCGGAAGGTCCAGGGAGTGCTCCAATTGTTCTTGCTCTGCCTATCAGATCAAGCCTAGGCTGCGGCTGGACTCAGAATTCTGCGCACCCCTCCTTCTCCCTTCTTCACGCACACACTAGAACATTGGGCCTTCCTCCCACCGAGCCCTCCCCACCTGTCAGTCCTCTTCTCCCCCCTGGTCTGCCCACAGAAACCACCACCCCCACCTGCTCCAGCTGCACTTTGTCCTCAGTGACTGCCAGGCCCACACCCTCGGTCTGGCGACGTGGAAGGTGTGGCAGTGCCTCAGGTACAGGTGGGGCCCCTACCTCTGCTGGGCTCTACAGCCTGCTGCTTGAGTGACGGCCACTCAGGTCTGCTCATCTCCTTTCAGGGCCGAACCTGAGGTGGTGCTCCCTCTTCAGGGGAAGGACAGAAGCAGGACTGGAGGCCATTAGCAACACCTGTTCAGGTAAAACCCAGATTTGGGGAACCAAGGAGGGTGAGAGAGCTCGGCAGCTCCTCAGGGGAGACCTGGCAATGTTCTTGTATAAAGGAGTGCTATGGGAGATCGTTTGGGGAAAAGGTTTTGCTGCAGCTCTGGGGTAAGCAATCTGGGGTTATACTCTCCTCACCTAGAGGGTCGCACTCTGAGGGGGGTGTCAAGTACACTCAAGTCTGTGGAACAGGTCTGAACTCCTCGTTCAATACCTAGAGAAAGGACTAAAGCAGCACTTCACAAAAGTGAAGCCGTGCGAGTAGCTGCTAATATCCTGGGAAATGCCACCAGATACGTGGGCCCATAGGGCTCCACACGCAAGGCTTGCCCCTCTTTTCCTTCAAGGGGTAGCCTTTCCAAGCCTAGCTGGATGCTTCCCTCACTCTTTTATTTTTAGCCTGGTAGAGCTGATCAAGTGTAAAGGCCAGGTTGACTTTCTGATATGCAGGCTGCAAGTGTGTACAATAAATGCCTAAAAACAACCAGCTCTCTAGAGATCAAAGGCCCTCTAGTTATGCTGGGGGCCATAGTTCTGAGGGCTCACTGGGTTTTGGTAAAGAGACCACCACTGTGACTCCCTGAACCCCACCCCCTACCTTTACCTCTACTGAGGTCACATCCCTTTGCACAGAGGAGGTAAGGGTTAGCAGGCAGCGCTGCAGCAAAGAGGTGGAGAAGTGGAAGGGCACGGCGTGGCAGGGCACCAGGTAAGCCAAGGGTATTGAGGCTTCAGAAATAGGAGAGGATGGAGATCTGTCAGGCTGCTGGGCAGAGCCTGCCCTGCCCTGTTTGGCCCATTTCCTGGAGACAGTGGAAGCCTAGGGAACACTGAACAAGGTAGTATGGAATTTAGAAAGATCCCACCAGTTGCCATGTGGCCCAAGGAGAAGATGCCAGATTCAGGAAGACTGAGTGGATGCTGCTGGGGAGAAGGCGGGTTCAAGGGGGACATGGCCATGGAGCTAGATACATGATTTAGGAAGGAAGAACCCACAGGCCTTGGTGCAAGAGCAGGCTGAGGTGGGGGAATGGAAAAGGGTCAGGCCCAGGGATACTCGGGAGACAGCTGGTTTAGGGGGAGTGCATGAACTCCGAGGAGAGGATAGAGTGCTGTCAGTCAATTATATGGGATCAGCTGTCAGGACACACACCTGGGAATAGATTAACTATGAGGAATCAATTGAGAGAGGGCAGAAGGGACAGGGGGAAGTCCAACTCTCAGAGGTGGACAAGGAAGGAGGGGACAACAAAGGACTCTGAAAAAGAGTGGTCCAAAGGGCAGGAGAGACATAAGGGGATGATGAGCCAGCACCCAGGGGCAGGGAGTCATGGAACAGATGGCGGTCACAGAGCTCAAGCCTCTGCCGGCCTATTTCTTGGAGCAAATCTAGTTGAACCTGCAATAGGCCACTTCCTCATAAGTGTGAACCTCTGTTCTGGAAATTATCTTTTCCAAAACATTACCAGAAAGTCTGGTGGTCAAATGACATGGCAGGAGTGTCTTCTAACTTCAGGAAGGGGAGAAAGAGTCCCCCTGCTCATCAGCCCGAGGAGGATTCCTATGACGGAAACATCAGGTGTGCCTCCTCTCTTCAATCTTCCTACCAATCTGACACCAGCCATGCCTCCCACAGCCCCCTCTGCTTCCCTTCTGGGTGGGATCTTTGCGCACTGCCATGTAGAACTCATAGTTATGGGGTTTATCAGGGAGGTAACAGATTACAAGTCAGAATCAGGAAAGCTTAAGAGCATAGCTCTTGAGCCTGGACATCTTTTCAATGATGCAGGCAGTTCTTTTAGCCCTTGGCCCCCAGCATTTCATACCTCTTGGGTCAGGCTGGTGACTTCTGCCCTCCCTGGGCAAGCTGTATAAAGCTGTTTCACCGAGAAGTGTTATCTATAATACTCAATATGCATTCCAGTCATCTATTTAGATACAACAGTAGTTAGGAGAAACATCAACATCTGCAATACATTCAGACACATACATAGCCCTTTTCATTTCCTCTCTTCTGGGTGCATATGGCCTTAGGCCTCAGGCTGGGTAGAACCAGGAGACCCTGGCCTCCTACCTCATTTAGTAGGCCTGGATTTTGCCCCAAGCCATTCCAAATGGGCACTCTAGCCCCCATTTCCCTGTCTGTTTTTTCTGTGTAAGGTGTCTGTCCTTTCAGCCATGACAGACAATAAACAAAGTCACATTAGAGTCACATGTTTCACTTCCTACTTCACCGTGTTTATAGCACGGGATTTATCACCATGATTCCAGGCTCATGGAAGCATGGCACCTCGTAAGAGAAAGAACCCAGGGGTATGGGAAGTAAAACTTGTGGTTCTTAGATGGTTACTTTGCCTGCTGTGTTCTGTAATGATTGAAAGGAGAGCGTGTAATCCCACCTTCAGCCCATACTTGATTGGACATGCTTCAAGTGCCTCACTATCACCCAGAAGAAGAGATGAGCGCGGAGTGTGTCCTTTGGACCCAGATGCAGATGACAGAATGTTGTGACACCAGAGGCAGTAAAAGCAAGCTAGAAGCAGCAGCAGAGCGTTGGTGACAGTGGAGCCAGACCAGCAGGCGCCAGTACAGTTGGCTCTCTAACCCTGAGAAAGCTGAACACCTTCTCGTGCAGGAAGCTCACTCTGCTGGCAGAGTTGGGTGCTGCTGAGCGCATACTAGGGTTGCTAAGGAGTTCTGTAACACTTACCCAAGCGGGGCAGAGACTGCCAGCCTGGTCCAGGGGGTCCAAGGGTCATGAGAACTGCCAGAGGGCACAGCTAAGGTGTCCTGACTGAAAAACTGTAACCAGTTCCTTCCTTCATGAGCCTCCTCATGGTGAATTCTCAAACCCGGCAGAGGAGGAGAGCACGCTGTAGGCTAAGAGGGTTGGAGAGAGGATGCCGCTGCCTTGTGCAGCTGATGGTGATTCTCTCCTTTCACAAAGGTAGAGACCAGGCGCCCCACCATGCCACTGTTACACTTCCCAGTCTGCCCGCAGCCTAGAGGTTGGGATAGGCTCCAGCTCCCAGCCAGTCAGGCACTGGACCCTCTGGAGGGCAGGACACAAGACACTGGTAGCATGGCTGGGTTCTTACCACTGTGAACACAGGGAAGAGTCACTACTCCAGGCTCCCCGAGGCTGCGCAGCGTGGCTGGAATGTTCAGCATTTAAGGGAAAAGAGCCCAACCCGGAACCCTCTCTAAGTAAATGTGTCCATCTTCCACTCTGGCCCTGCCATTGTCTGCTGGGACCCCTTTCCACAGCTGCTCTCCCCCAACCCCAGGTGTCTCCTTGCCTGCTGTCAGGAGGTTAGTGGGCCTGTGCTCATGGGGGCGTGGCCCTGGCAGGCTGAACTTCCGGAATGGCTCCACCCCTTTCTCAGCTCTCACCTGCCAGGGCTCACAGCCCCTCCCTTGCTTACTGCTTGCTCCCACACCACTTCCCCACTTTCATGCCCACTCACAGGGGTCACCCCACAAAAATATACACGTCTAGAAAGCAAAGTCTCTGTCTCCAGAGATGCCTGGGCCCTTGCTGTGACATACTCCGAGCAGTCATCCATCCAGCAGCAGCCACTCACCTCGCTGACTGTGGAGAAACCCCACCCCACCCCCACGCCTTGCTGAGCTGCTCCACGCCCCAGCCCTGGTGGGTCCCTGTCGGCCAGCACTACCCACGGTGTCTGGCCACACTTAGCCTCTCAGCCAGATCAAGCAGAGGCTGTTGACTTCACCCTTGACATTGCCTCCTGCCTGTCCCTTGGGGAGCCTACCTCAACTCCTGGGAGCACCCTGATTTCCCTGTAACACCCAACAGCTGCCTCTCCCTGTACAGACAGTTTCTATTGAAAATTAAAAGGTGAAGGCCCAGCTCGCCTCCTGTCTGGGAGTGACATGTGGGCCCCTGAGAATCCACTTTCTGGTGCACATGTTGAGGAGGCGGGAGGAGTGAGCCCCCACCTGGCCGAGGTTCGGGGCAGAGGAACATCATTGTTGCTATTTAAAACACAGACTCTTCTTGGAAAGGGTTAGATCTGGGGTAGAGCTGGCTATGTTCCTTGGGAAACAAGGCTGTTTGCAAAAATGGGGTGTGTGTGTGTGTGTGTGTGTGTGTGTGTGTGTGTGTGTGTGTGTGTAGTAAATTGGGCAGTCATACTGAATCAGAGGGCTTTTATTTGTCAGGATGGATTGGCTATGGCTTATCAACCTAAATATTTCCTCACACTCACCCTGCATGTGAGTTAGCTGCATGTAGCCTCACTCAGGAACCCAGGCTGATGGGGTACTCACCAACTCTGATGGAGGGAGGGGACTCTGTCAGTGTGATCCATGTCATCTTCACTCCCAACTCATTGGTCAGAACTAGTCATATGATACCACCTGATGACCAGGGGGCCAATCCCACCTCAGGCCTAGAAAGCAGGCTCCAGCAAGTATGGGGCCAGACTGAAAAACTGTAACCTGTTCCTTCCCTCATGAACCTCCTAATGGTAAATTCTCAAACCCAGCAGAGAAGGAGAGCACACTGTCGGCTAAGAGGGTTGGAGAGAGGATGCCTGTCTTCGGCGTGGAGGAAGTTTTTTTGTGTCACCATCTACACCATCTCTCTGGGTACACATAGCCTGCCACAGCCAAAGCCAAGAGTTCTCACCTTCTCTTTAGAAGTGTGGGTTCAACAGCCCCCAGCAGACAGAGGTGGGACTACCACTACTGAGGGGCCAGGCTTCCTTGGAATCCAAAGCCCCAGAAGACCCTTGGCACTGAGGAAGGGACTTTTAATGGCAGCCTTAGCTGGAGTTTGGAAGTCCGTAGACCACCCCCATCCCCCATGATCTTCTCACTAGTCTTTGAGGTGGACAAATAACTAAGTCACAGTTTTATGCAGATAAATCTCTAAATCCTATTCCCATGAGCTGCCTACTCCAGCAGCCCCTCCCACTTAGCCACACAGGAGCAGGCACCCGGCAGCCTG